CGCAATAATTGGCTTTCCCTGACCATCATTACCAATTGCAGCACCACGGATGAAATCCACTTGACCACCAAAACCAGACAAGAAGCGACGGCCCACAGAGTCCGCAACCACTGAAACACTTTCGATTTATAACAGTGTATCCTGGTGAATGAGTACACACAGCTACCCAAAATATCTATTCTTCGTTAGAAATGGGAAAAACAGTAAATTCTCAGAAACCAAAATTCCTGCTTCATTTAATGTCACTCGTGCATCGGCCCATGTAGAGCATATTTCTGCCACGAAGCGACGGGAGGTCACAGAAAGTACGTATCAACCAGTTAAAGGAGTCACTGCGTATTTTGTGATGATTGTTTCATTGCGTTACTGATTCTTCACTATGATCAACACCGTCAAACATCGTTATCAACAAAGGCAGAAAATTTCAGAAACCTTGTCCGGTTAGATCGATTTCGACAGCTGAATTGATTGCAGTCATTTTGGGCATCATCCGTATTATCGTTGGGTCATTTACCCAGGTTACATCACCGAAAAAAACACTCGGATTGTCGTTCAAAAATTTGTACAACGTATTTGATCCGTAAACGAATGAGACAACCAACTGCAACATACAAATTTTTTTTTTCTTGAATCAATGCTAAAACTTTTTCGAAGGCACTAGGAAGTAGATTCAAGCGACAGTCAACGACTGACAAGACTGTCAATCCGTTTTCCAGGGAAGGCTCTTCATACAAGATACCTCTCTCGCATGCTTTTATCAGCATTAATTTATCATATCAGCAAAATGTAGTGCAATTTTAATTCCCACTGGTGAGTTTAACAATATGCACTACCTAAGGATACGTCAGATCTGTCAACGACCTGTTTTTTGAAAGTGGCGAGTCCCAAAATCCATCAAGACAAACTTTTCCAGGATGGAGTTCTTTCTTTGAATTTGTGATGGCATTGCATTCGACGAGCTTCAGTATACCATCCGAGAACATTTCCGTATGAATTCCAAGATCCTTGTGATCACCAAGCGCTGCCAGTGCAGCATCAGGTATCGCACCGATACCTGCAATGTCGAGTTTCAGATTGCTGCTCCGTAACACAACTTACTGTGTCTCTTTGCGAATAGTCGCACTGAAAGACAGACCCATCTGAAGTGTGGCGCCGTTGTCCACAAGATTGTTCGCGATGATCTCGCCGATTTTCTTCTCCTCCGGTGATGCAGCTCCGCCGAAATGTCGTTCGTGCAAAGGGTAATCCTTTTCGATCATCACATCGATATGGCTCTGGTGGATTACCGAATCACCAAAAGTACGAGGCATATTCTTATTTGCAATTGCTGAAATCGAGCGGAAATGATAACTGCTCATCACACACTGTATGTAATACTCAAATACAAAGTACGGATCGGAGATGAGAGCCAGCTGTTCGCCTCAGAGCATAGTTGCACCAGACTGTGGTATCACTGGACAAAATTAGTTTTTTTTTCGTGTAGTTCCCGCAGCTGATCGCCAATGTCAAGGAGGATTAAAAGGATTTCTAATACGCAACTTGGAAGACCACACAAGTAACGGAGAAGAATCTAGCAATTCTCGCCGGAGAAACTGAGAAGCTAGTGAAGTTAAAGTAAGGCATCGTCACGGCAGCTGTTTCCCCGTGAAGAAGCTTCCAGTTGCACCGATTGAGTGAACTACGCAACAAAGTCATTAACTTTTCTAAGATTATGATTCTTTTTATGCGTTTTGTGCTGTGTAACAGCAGTACAAAACGCATATTGTTACGGGGTTGTCTG